AATAAACGTCTGAGTAAATACGTATTACCGTGGCTTCTTAGATTACCTTTCTGCAATGTCGAGTAGTATAGCTCTTGGCTGTTCAATGCTTGATGTGATTAGACCCCTTCTAGACGACCCATCTAACTTTGCCACCTCAATTCTACTTGTTCCCTCATCTGTCCAGTAAATATTACGTCCAACATAATCTACTGCCAGTCCTCCAGGAGTAGTAACATTAGTGTGCGCGATGACTTTGACTGAAGACCCGTTAGGAAATGAACTGGCCACCAGTTTTAACGTCACATCTGTCCAATAAACCTTTCCTTCGACCGGATCGTAATCAACAGCCACAGGCCTTGATATGTTTGTATTAATTCCAAGCGGATAGCAAGGGGCTTCTGGTATTTGAAGAGGAACTTTGTAAATTTCTTCCGCATCCGCTTCAGCAAAGATGATAAATTTATTGGAAGTTATCTTGTGAAACAGTTCTTGGACAAAGAATGAAAACGGTGTGAGTATGCGTGAGTATGCGAGATATCTAAATATTGACAACCAGTCAGTTGGTCTTACTCAATGCACATGCCAAACCAACTGGTACCGGGAAAAAATACGAAAGAACCAAGGATATTTCTTCTCATATTGGTAATAGCAGTAGATCGTTCTCACCATAATTACAGCTTTTTCCATCGGACTTGAGTTGAATGCCTGTTGGACATGCGCACTGATATCCTCCTGGATTTAGAAGACACAAATCACTGCAAAGGCCATTGTTTTGAGCGCAAGCATGGGAACCTGAAGATGCAAAACAAACACTTTTTATCTTACCGACTCAGTAAGTGGCAGAGAAAAAAAATCACAAAACTTCTTATGAAGTGATACTTGGAGATAAGATATTAACAAGATACCTGAAAATATCAAGGCTGGATCAAATACGTGAATATCCATAGGTTTTTGAAGGCCATTGATTACGATTTCCTGGTTTCCACTGCTTAAGTTGAAACGTGAAACGCTCTTGGTATTCCAATCAGTCCAGTAAAGCATGTCCTGATACACCGCTAGTCCATAGGGATGAATATTAGCTGCAGTTGACATGATTAACTGTCTGTTTCCTCCATCGAGGTCTGATACCTCGATTTTGTCAAGTTTAGCGTCAGCCCAAAACACGCGATTTGTCGCTTGGTGGATAGTGAGTCCATTTGGCCAGACAAGGCTTCCTGTTACAATGGTTCGCCTCGCTGAGCCATCCATCCCAGCTTGTTCGATCTTCGGATTGGCGCCCCAGTCTGTCCAATACATCATGCTGAAAGCAACCCAACGGAATCCTAACATAACTACATCTTTAAAACTTACTACACTCTTGTTTTTTTTATAACAGAACATTTAATAAGTATATCGAGGTTAAAAGCAGCGAAATATTTAGAATATTTTAAGAATTAACCCGAGGCTGCGATTTTGAAAAAAAGTACTGTTTTTTTTTTGCTGAAAATTTGTAAATTATGTTCATTTTTTAACTCAACTATGTAAATTCTGCCTAGCTTTCGGTAAAGAGTGAAGATAGCCAAAAGGAAAACAATAAAACAAAACAGTGCTAGCCCTTTGTTCGATGCTAACAACATTTCTGGCTTTATTGCCTTCAGTCTGGCTTCAAGCTTACTCCAACAGTACTTAAGTCCCGTCAAAGTGTCGCAGGCTAAGAATATTCACAAAAATATTTTCAGTCCAAAATCAGGAGAATATGAATAGTTAAATATGAATAGTTAAATATGAATAGTTAAATATGAATAGTTAAATATGAATAGTTAACTATGAATAATCAGGCGGGCCAGGACAGAAAAACAATATCTTTGTTGTAATTCGTTTTGCTATATTCAGAAAAATTCTACGACGAATTTGTAAATACCCAGGAGATACGTTGACATATTTTCAGAAGTCCGTAAGTGTGATATATAAATTACTTCATGGAAAGTGCGCGCATACGGTATTTACGCACGAGTTGTTGAACTATCAGAAAACGGAAGAGTCAGCGTAGCTAACGAGTGAGAATTCTGATACAAAAACAACGAGTGCGTAAGTACCGTACAAAGCACTTTTCATGCTGTAATTTGTTTATTTAATGCATACTGAGATTTTCATTTTCAACTTTCTAATAAAATTTATTTGCTTTTTTATTCAGTAGAACAATACTCAAGTTATGTTTTTATTCAATCTAGACGCAAGCACTGTGTCGCTTCTCCGAAAGCCTTTCGAACAGAGTGTTTACCTCTTCATCAGTCGACGCTTCAGCTGCTTTTGAATTGTTTTCTTTGCCTTAATTGTTTTTTTTTTTAGTTGTTTGCTTCAAGCTTCTAGATATTTCTTTGCTTGGTAAAATTCTTTGTCGTCGATAATGCTTACGGGATAATTGCCTTCTTTAAAAACCGGCTAATACTTGAAAAGAGCCCTCGAAGGCTTGGTAGATAGATAGATAACTTTATTTCAACTCGAATTGATGAGGCTGATTAGGCCTCTAATGGCTCTTGGTGGCTCGTAATCCTCGCCATCTTTTCGTTTGACTTTAAAATAAATTCCCACAGGTATTTGTTAAGTTTATCTGGTTTGACTTCTTCAACTTTTCTTGTCTATTTTTTCTGTTTGAGGAATAGGCTAAAGCAAGCCAACTTCGAGCCAGGTGTTTGCCCTAGCGCATTTGTTCTGCTGTTCTTCAGTGGGTTCACCTAAAGAGATAAACCTATTCGAACTTTCCGCCATTCAAAGATTGTCTGTGGTTCATTGCTAATTTGCAAGAAACTTGTGGAAACTTGTGGAAACTCTGCAAACTTTCATGAAGGAATATTGAAGGGACGCCAAAAGCAATGTGACGCGCTGCGAACTAACTGATTCATTTTGACAGCTAATTTCTGATTGGATGAAACGGTTTTCCCACGCGCGTGGGAGAAAGACGTTTCGCTATTCCCATTGGATAAAAAAAGTTCCGGATGGGTTTTTAATGCGAATGGATCTATCTGAAAATAAAGACAAGATGTTCACAATTTAGTTGAATTTGGTTCTGGGATGTAAAGGTTTCGGATCAATCGACTCCAGCAATAGACGATCGGAACTGTCGTTCAAAGTTCGCAGGAAATTTGTCTTCCTTGAAATTTTGGTCTTCGCCAACATTCTTCGAATTTCCCCTACGTTCATCGCAACTGTCTTTGCCGGTTATCAGCTACCAGCTATTTATAAAGAATCCTGTTAATACAAAGTTTATTTTGCGTTATTACTTGCCCGGTACCAACCGATCTTTTTTCTTTATTTTTTCTCTTTATATATCCCCTTAGGTGTTTTTTAACTTGGCTGCCTATTGGTTTGAGGTCACATTCAGATGATATTTTTTTCGAGGAGAATGTGTACCGCATAATATGTAGCCACGTAATGCCACTCATCGCTCCCGGCCAAACTGGCTTTCGCAAACCAGGCCAGAAGCGATGACAAGCGGCTCAAGCTAAAGAGCTTGGGAAGCCCCATTAAATATCTTACTTTTGTCTGTTAATGGAGAGGCTGGAAATTACTTTGCACTCTAGTCGCATTTGACTTACCCATTTCTCTCATCAAGCAAGATCGCCCTCGGCTCATCAAGTCCATCTTTGATCAACAGTTTCCTGCTTGTTCCGTCAAGCCGAGCCACTTCAATCCTATTGGTCCCTGTATCAGTCCAATAAATGTTTCGTCCCACATGGTCGATGGCTAAGCCGTCTGGAGTTTGTACATTACAGCGAAACAACATCTTCACTGAAGTTGCGTTAGAAAAAGCGCTGATGATACGACCTTGCGCAACGTCCGACCAGTACACCCGATCTTCGAGAGGGTCATAGTCCAATGCAATAGGATGCTGATTTCCAAGGTGGATAAACAACGTTTGTGCAACGAAATAGCTGACGTCCAAGGAAATTTTCTTAGTGGATTGGTCGGCGGCATCAGCAAAGAGAAGAAACTTGTTCACCTCTACAATTTAAGTGACATGCAAGGTTATTATACGGTTTAAAAAGTCCTAACTTATAGGCATTATTCCGAAGTGTTTTGATACTAATTGTTAGAAGACATTTAATTTTGTGGGATTTCCATAGCGTTTTCAAGTGAGTTCGACCTGGTCATTATTCCAAGATAGTGGCCGAAAGTGGTGAAGAATTGCAAATGGTAAGCACATTTTCCATTCGGATATTTCGATTGGGAATTTAAGACAACCTTTCAAAATGTTCTGTCTATTTTTGAAATTTTCCGGTTGGTCGGGGCAAAGTTGTCTTAGCACTTACATTCTGACCAAAATTTCTAGATTTTTGAAAGGTAATGCTAAAAGGTAACCACTCCTGTCACCAACGCTACAGGTTCTCTCCCAACGAGGAGAGAGGCATTGTGGGAGTTAACTTCTTTGCTCAAGAACACGATAAAAGGACCCCGCAAGAGCTCGACTACGGAATAATTAATTCGGAGGATATAAGGCTAACCTTCGGATCACCGAGTATTATAGTCTTGTTGTTCATGTTTTGTTATCATGAAAAGTATGCTTTTGCTCCAGATGCCTGGCGAAAACGAAGCTTAACAGAAAAAAACTTACTGTCTTCGCATGTCTTGCCATCTTGCTTCACAGTCAAACCAGTTGGACAAGAACATTGGCTACCAGAGGATTTTGCTATACAGAAATGACTGCATTCTCCATTGTTTACAGTGCAAGGGTTTGAAGCTTTAAAAAGACATAAAAAGAACGTTTAATTTTAGCACAGTGCAGAAAACAGTTGGGGTACCGTGTTTGTAGAAACGCGGATCTCGTAGAAAAGATCACGAGCTGAAATAAGAGAATAAACTCTAAATTCTTGCAATTGTCAGTCATCAGTGTTCTTCTCCTGTGTTTCGAGGCCTAATATTGAAGCGACTGGTCGCCAAATCGGCATTAGTTACTGGGGAAAAGACGAAGGATTCTTTCGTAATATTTGTATTACAATTTACAAAGATTGTTAAAAGATTGATTGAGACGAAGACTGGTCCCATTGAAAACATGAGTGAATTCGTGAGCCTATGATGGCCCTATAAATTTGGCCCTTTGTTTTTATTGTGACTTAATGTATCATTATTTGTTACAATGCCGGGCCCTGCTTTGATCAGCCTACGCTATACGTGGGCAGTGTAAGTTGTAATTTGTTAGGGAAATAAATAAAACTGTAATAAACTGTAAGAAAACTGTATAAATACCTAAAGGTTGACGGGAGCTGTCGTATGGTACAATACCCATAGGCTGTCCGCCATTGATACCGAAACTTCGTAGCACGTGTCCAGTGGCAGCGTCCAACTGATGAACCTCTTTTTGTGCAACCCAGTCAGTAAAAAACAGGAAAGGAGGAATTAGCGCAACGTCAAACGGATGTAAGTACTGTTGCTGGTAAAGAAGCTTTCTGTCGTTGCCATTGTAGTCGACGGATTCCACCCTGTCATGTCCTGCATCCACCCAAAATATTCGTTTATTTCCTCTGTCAAGCTCAATACCATTGGGCCAATGAAGATTGGTTGTTACGATGGCGAGTCTTTGGCTACCGCTAAGCGAAGCTCGTTCGATTTTGGGATTAACTCCCCAGTCCGTCCAGATCATTAAGCCGCTATCCAGATCCAGGTTTATTGCTCTGGGCTCATCAAGGCTGAATGAAATTAACCTACGTTGGTTATTACCATCTAGGTCTGATACTGATATGGTATCATGCGTCGTATCAGTCCAATACAGCTCTAATGCTCTCCAATCCACCGCCAATCCATCACAAACTCCAATACCAGTGATAATTGTAGTCGTGCTTGCGACGTCAATGCGGAAACGTTTGATATTTTGTTCTGTTACATCACTCCAGAATATGTAACCCAAACTGAAATGGACATCTATGGCAACAGCTCGTGTTAAACCCGAAATTATGGAACGAGCTGCTCCAGTTTTGTAGTCGATGGCTAAAATATCCGAAGTGTTTGATGCCAACAAACATGGTGGACTGCATAAAGTGGCTACAAACCGAAAAGAATAAGATAAAAGTGAAGTAAAATGTATCGAGCTGTATCGAAACTGACACATGGTGATATTTAAATATTTTCTAGTGATTGAAAAATAAATTAATTAAATAAAAACCGACATGACAACGTTCCTTGTTCACTTTGGCCACACGTCTTAAGTAGCCAATTAAAATGTAAAAACTACGAGGTGCAAATTTGTAAAATTTGACATTTGCGTTCTGTTAATCAGCTGACATCTCCGCTTCGCACAGATCTTTCAATTTCATCAGCTAGCTTCAAAAAGCCATTAGAAAGTTATCAAAAAGATGCCAAAGTAGTCAAACTTGCCAGGTAGATGCCTAATTAGTGAAAAGCTTTTCCGAAAAAAGCTGTCGCAATAATGAGAAAATCATCATCTCAACTATAATCGCTATATTTGCCATGGTTTATTGTATGAATACAACCTGAAGCCATGCCTTATAGCCAGCTCACTTAAAATATCAACTTATTTTATTTCATTATGGCCCGGCACATATTCTCCTTCTAACAATAGTTTCGCTACTCTTGTAGACTATCGGGTCTTGGGACATTGATTTATTGGCGGCAGATTAACTTGAAGGATCTTTCATTTTAGGTATCAACACGATGTATGTTTCGCCTCTTACCTTGACAAAAAGGTGATTCTCCATTCCAAGTTCCGTTTTCCCGGCATTGCCTGACCGACGATCCAATTAAGTAGAAGCCTTTATTGCAAGAAAAATTACATTGAGTATGGTAAGGTTCCGATACCAAGTCGGTACAGCCGGTCTTAACTCCATTTGCTGGACCTTGAAGAGTTGGGCATCTTACAACTAAGAGAAATAAAAGATCAAAGATATTGCACATAAGCTTTGGAAACGCTTCTTATTCGTTTCCGGTATAAACGTTTCTCTCCTAATATCGCCTTGTTTTATAATACAGGTATATATTATACATACGTATTTCTGTTTATCATACTTTGGCAATATGACGTTTGTCCACTCCAAGACCCGTTTTCCAGGCATCGCCTTATTGGTGAGCCAGTCAGATTGTAGCCAACATTACATGAAAAACTGCAATATGTATCATAAGGTTCCGATGTGATGTCGCTACAGCCGGCCTTGACACCATTTGTTGGAACTGGAAGTGACAGGCATCTTATAGCTACAGTAGGAACAATATAAATGTAAAATGTTTGAGTTTCCTTGGACTTTCCGCATATAAACTTACATGACATCTTAATAACGTCACTTGACAACAGAATGGACGTAAAAAATGTAACAGTAACAAATTGCTAAGAACTTTTGTGTAAAGAAATACAAAATCCTCTTCAAATACTCGCTATTGTGGGGTACGGTGATTTAAATTGTTCGCTACAGGCTGAAAGTCGTAATTAATTGGCTTTAGAGCAGAAAAATACACGCCACATGCATCCACCAAAGACGCAAGAATAAGTTGCTTATGACGATTTGATTCAAATCAGTTGAAATGAAAACACATGACGAAACAGAAGTTCACATATTGTATCATTCCAAAATATATGTCTTGAATGCTTCGAAGGTATATTCTTTTTCGCGTACCTTCGCAGCTAGGCAAAGGATTGTCCCAGTACCCTGGAGGTTTGTTACCGGGGGCAACACAAGTCACCGTTGAGGATCCATTCAAACGATAACCAATCGTACAAGAAAAGTTACATGTTGCTCCAAAATGGTTGTTACAGCTGCTCATGCGCAGCGGAAGTCCTGGATCTACGGTCAACGAGGTGCAATTGATCACTGTGGAAATATCCAACAAACATGTCAGCATCATTTCTTCTCTTAGTTACGAACACTTTTTCTACTTACATATCTTAGCTTTTAAAAATTGTGTAAATGTAGTCAGGAGATGACATAGTCGATAAAGGTGCGGTTTTTTGTAATTGACTTGTATATTTTAGCAGGACGTTTCGGCTAACTCTTTAGCCTTTGTGAGGTATATATGAAATAATTCATATTTGAACTCTACTACCGCAGTTCAAATATGAATTATTTCATATATACTTCACATCATTTCACTCACGGGAAGATATGAACTCAATTAATTGACCTCGCTCCCAATGTGTGGCTTCATAGCTCAGTTGGTAGAGCATCGCACCGGTATCGCGGAGGTCACGGGTTCGAATACCGTTGAAGCCCTGATTTTTTTACAGGCTTCTTCTTTCCAGTTGCTTAAATTGGAAAATTTACTGCGATGATCACACTTCACTTTCTTTAGCCTTTATCAGTTGAAAAACCGCTTGATGTTACGCGCGATTTAAAACGTTTGAAATAGAAACGTTGCGCGTGCTGTATGCGCGTGACTCGAGAGAATTTTAAGTGCGTGCTAAGCGCTTGTAGACTTCATACAAGTCATTCACAAAAACCAGCACCTTTATCTTAGCTTTTCTTTGCGTGTTCACTCAACTGCCACTACCAGCATAGAACTGGCAAGCATGTCGGTATGGTCTGTAATAGTCCTTATAAATTATGGCTATTCTTTTATATACACACATGCGTGTGAGTTAGCTGAATAAAACTGGTATCATTTTTACCTCTAACATCAATGGTGAAGGTGCAAGTGGCCTTGTTTCCTGATTGGTCAGCTGTAGTGTATGTGATTATGTGAGTTCCTTGGCTGAATCTTTCAAACGGTTTGTGATTTGATGACATGCTAAGCAGAACTCCTGAGTTGTCAGTAGCAGCTGGCTCGGTCCAGTTAACCTCTGCTGAGAACAGACCTCGTTCTGCATACACTACTAACGGACCTGATGGACATGTTGCATTGAACGTCGGAGGAAGAATGTCTGCAATGCAGATGAGCTCTTCATTAACGAAGAAGACAAATTGACAATTATATTATCATATTCATCCATGTATGTCTTATTTGTGGAATTATCGTTTTTGATAGGCTCTTCTCCAGACTACAGTGTATTTGTTACGCAATTGGGCAACGACTACATGAGGTCAGTTGCCATGAAAATTTATCACATCTACTAGCTACAAAAAGTCGTTAGGAAGTTGTCAAAATAATGCTAAAGTTAGTCAAACGTCTTCAAAAAGATGCCTCATTGGTCAAAAATTGTACGAAAAAAGTTACCAAAATAATACGAAAAACTCTGTCAAGTAGCAGAGGTCATGCCATGCATCTTCACGGTGGTTTAATGTAAGTATACAATCGAAAGCGTGCTTTTTAACCAGCTCGTTTAAACAACCAACTCACTTATTTTATTATGGCCACATCTTCTCCTACTAACAAAAGTTTTGTCACTCTTCCAGATAATCAGGTCTTGGTAGCATGCTTTATTGGCGGCAGACTAACTGAAACGAGGTTTCATTTTGAGTATCAACGATGTATGTTTCGCCTCTTACCTTGACAAATAGGCGATTCTCCACTCCAAGTCCCGCTTTCCTGGCATTGCCTAACCGACGAACCATTTAAGTAGTAGCCATCATCACAAGAAAAATTACATTGAGTATTGTAAGGTTCCGATACCAAGTCAGTGCAGCTGGTCTTAACTCCGTTTGTTGGACCTGGAAGAGTTGGACATCTTACAACTAACGAAAAATAAAATAACAAAGATATTACACATTAGCTTTGGGAACGTCTCTTACTCGTTTATACTGTAAAAATGGTATGAATGTTTCTCTTCTAATTTCCGCTTGGTTTTATAAAATATATATCAAACCTTGGCAATATGACGTTTGTCCACTCCAAGACCCGTTTTCCAGGCATCGCCTTACTGGTGAGCCAGTCAGATTGTAGCCAACATTACATGAAAAGCTGCAATGTGTATCATAAGGTTCCGATGTGATGTCGCTACAGCCAGTCTTGACTCCATTTGTTGGAACTGGAAGTGACAGGCATCTTATAGCTACAGTAGGAACAATATAAATGTAAAATGCTTGAGTTTCTTGGACTTTCCGCATATAAACTTACATGACATCTTAATAACGTCACTTGACAACAGAATGGACGTAAAAATTGCAACAGTAACAAATTGCTAACAACTTTTGTGTAAAGAAATACAAAATCCCCTTCAAATACTCGCTATTGTAGGGGACGATGATGTAAATTGTTCGCTACAGGCTGAAAGTCAACATTAATTGGTTTTAGAACAGAAAAATAAACGCCACATGCATTCGCGAAGATGCAATAATAAGTTGCTTATGACTATTTCATTCAAATCAGTTGAAATGACAACACATGAAGAAACAGAAGTCTACATATTGTATCATTCCAAAATATATGTCTTGAATGCTTCGAAGGTATATTCTTTTCGCGTACCTTCGCAGCTAGGCAAAGGATTGTCCCAGTATCCTGGAGGTTTGTTACTCGGGGCAACACAAGTCACTGTTGATGATCCATTCAAACGATAACCAATCGTACAAGAAAAGTTACATGTTGCTCCAAAATGATTGTCACAGCTGCTCATGCGCAGTGGAAGTCCTGGATCAACTGTCAAAGAGGTGCAATTGATCACTGTGGAAATATACAACAAACATGTGAGCATCATTTCTTGTCTTAGTTACGAACACTTTTTCTACTCACCTATCTTAGCTTTTAAAAATTAAGTAAATGTAGTCAGGAGATGACATAGTCGATAAAGGTTCCGTTTTTTGTCCCTGACTTGTATATTTTAGGAAGACGTTTCGGCTAACTCTTAAGCTTTTATCAGTTGAAAAACCGCTTGATGTTTCGCGCGATTTAATTTTTTTAAAATAGAAACGTTGCGCGTGCTGTGTGATCGTGACTCGAGAGAATTTTAAGTGCGTGCTAAGCACTTGTAGACTTCATACAAGTCAGTGACAAAAACCAGCACCTTTATCTTAGCTTTTCTTTGCATGTTCACTCAACCGCCACTACCAGCATAGAGCTGGCAAGCATATCTGTATGGTCTGCAACAGTCCTTATAGATTATGCCTATTCTTTTGTATACACACATGCGTGTGAATTAGCTGAATAAAATTGGTATCATTTTTACCTCTAACATCAATGGTGAAGGTGCAAGTGGCCTTGTTTCCTGATTGGTCAGCGGTAGTGTATGTGATTATGTGAGTTCCCTGGCTGAATCTTTCAAACGGTTTGTGATTTGATGACATGCTAAGCAGAACTCCTGAGTTGTCAGTAGCAGCTGGCTCAGTCCAGTTCACTTCTGCTGAAAACAGACCGCGTTCTGCATACACTACTAACGGACTTGATGGACATGTCGCGTCGAATATCGGAGGTAGAACGTCTGCAATATTGACGAGCTCATCATTAGATACAACGTTGTTGAGAATTTTATATCATCATACTTATGTATTGTTTATTCCTGAAATTATTGCTTCCTTTTTAGGCTTTTCTCCATACTACATTGTCTGTGTTAAGTAATTGAGCAAAGACTACATGAGTCTGACAAAAGATGTCCAAGTTTCAAATTACTGACCAGGTTAATCCCCAAATGGTACTTTACTTTCACTTTTTCCAGTTACTGAGCGCAAAAATATTGTACCACACACTCTAAGTGATTTTATAGGCCTACAAAAGTAATCAACGAAGATGCACTGACTGCAAGACTGAAATTGGGTATGCTAATTAGATATAGCTCGTTTTCTCTCATGTGGATCACGTGGAGAACAGCCATGCAAATTTATTGGAATGAAAGAATATGTTTTCTAACGAAAAAAGTTAATCTCCAACAGGATTGGTGTGGTAAACCACCACGATCACAGATTCACTGTTTTGGTAGACCAATAGGGCTTCGCTCACGTCACGTGAAAATACTCTATCCTTAAATAATGATTTCAAGGAGTGGGCGATCTGGCCAGTACCCAAAATACCCCAGACTATAATCCGGGATATTACTCTATCTATTTCGATGTATGGATACCTGTACAATTGATTGGGTTCCCACTCCATTGGCCAGACTGCAAACACGTTGTGCTAACATTTCCAGCTAGGCTGGCATATCCACTTCGGCATCCCAATACACAGCTTGATCCATAGGTATTGCCACAGGAAAGGGTAAGCAGAATCGCCCCTGGAGGAATGTTTACAGGGCCGCAGCTGTGAGCTTGGTAACAAACAAATTGTCATGTTAAAACATCTTTAAATAATGTGATTAGATTAAATTTCTTAACTATTAGAGCATGCAATGAACAGCTTTTAAACGGGTTACGACAAACTAAACTGAGACAGAAATATGCAAATTAAGGCGTACTTAAATGGCACAACAGAAAATAATGGAACTTTAATTTTCAAGATTGAATAATATTTAAACAGAATAAGAATCAGACAAGCTTCTAACTCAAGAGTAAATTTTACCTATACATAAAAAATCTTGGCCACTCCAAGTTCCATCTTCTTGGCATTGTCTTGACGAAGAGCCATACCCATTGAAGCCAACGTTACAGGAAAACAGACAGACAGTGTTGTAATACTCTAATGTTGTTCCTGAGCAATTCTGGCGGATGCCATAGGAGGGGGCTGGTAGGGCTGAGCACGTGATAGCTATGGAAACAAAAATATATATTACATGTAAGACCTTGATATCGTTTACTTCCTGAGTATTCTGCTACATTCTGCACAATTGATATTAGTGTAAACTGAAAACAGTTGGCGTGATTACGTCAATATAAGTACGATATGAGAAATACAGAAGCCATACTTCCCAAGGGTCGGTTCAGAACCGATGTCTTTAAATTCTCATTTTTTAATCGCAGTTTGGAATTATGGAATCGCCTGACTGTGGCCATCAGGGCAATTTATCAATTATAATTGTTTAGTTAGAAAGTGAATCTGTTTTATATTATTATTCTTATTTTTTTTTTTTCGTTTTCTGATTACCTATTGTTGTTGTGATTCGTCTATATTAGTATTCTATATATTTTATGTCTTATCTCAGGCAGTTTATTTAAAATAAGGAATCTAGGATTCTGCATAAACTGGCCTAATTCTTTGTATCATTTTATTTTGATCATTTGTGTAATTGAATTTGAGTAAATCAATCAATCAATCAATCAATCAATCAATCATTCAGATCAATCAATCAGTTAAACATACCTTATGTATTACCTACCTTGACAACTAGGTAAAGGACTGTCCCATGATCCCGGAGGTCCGTTACCAGGGGCAACACATGTGACCGTGGATGAGCCATTCAAACGATAACCAATCGTACAAGAAAAGTTACATTTTGCTCCAAAGTGAATGCCGCAGCTGCTCATTAGCAGGGGACCTCCTGGATTTATCAGCGATGTACAATTGATAACTGGAAAAATTGAACGTGAAATTAAAATGTTTTTAATCATCTTGATGAGAAGTATTTTGTACCAAGGATTTCTGAAAGCCTTGTTCACAACTGCAAACTAAGCGTACGCGCAAACGCAAACGCAGTCATAGTTTTTGCTTTTTTTTTACTAACCTACCAACCTTCATAGCTGTTTTACCGATAACTTGTACACGTGTTGTTAATAACTACATTTGAATGTTCAGGATGTTAAGCAAAATATACTTTGCACAATGTCATGCTTTGTTATTTTGGCTGCACTTAAGTTGAGTCCCTTTACACGTGCTAAACGCAATTTATTCTAAAGCTGCGAAACTGTGTAACATGAAATAAACTTTTTGATAACGCTCACGCGCCTTAAAACACTTTTGTCTAGATTATTTTTCTTCGTTTGCTTTGTCGTGTCAAAACAAACAGTCTTTACTTGTATGGTTGTGTCAATCGTTCATTGTTTTTCTATACTTTGAGTAATCCTTACAGGCGGGAGAGTTTTAATGAGTTGATTGTGAACAAACAATTCGGTAAAAACTGCTTTAAAGGTAATCCCAATCCTTGATGAAAACGCACAACTGTCCGGGAAACAAAGTTAATAGCTTAAACATTGTGTTACCCATCACTTCAATCGTAAAGCTACAAGAAGCCTTGTTTGCTGATTGGTCCTCTGCAGTGTACATGACCACGTGAGTTCCCTGGCTGAATCTTTGAGGTGGTTGGTGATTCGACGTCACGGTAGGTGGGACTCCTGAATTGTCAGTGGCAACGGGCTCGCTCCAGCTCACTTGGGCTGAAAACAGGCCACGTTCTGCATACACCTGCAACGGACTTGCTGGACAGGTGACAACGAATGTCGGAGGACTAACATCTGTAATATGAAATAAAAGCATAAGGCACTATAGTAACACATTATTTGGCAAATTATTTTGACACTAATTACTTTCACAGTAATGTTGATTAAAGAGCCCATACATTGGGACATGAGGAAAATGGTTATGAAGCCTGGACAAACATCAAAAGGGTAAACAATGATATCAAGATTTATGTTGCAAGCTCCCCGACCGTGCACAATCTTTTGTTTTCGTTCATACAAAATGCATGAATTACGTAACCAAAACGTTTTTATTGGTTACTTCCTCAGTACGGAGTAAACAGCTACTGTGTTTTGTGCTCCGTCTAGGCCAAAAAAGAGATCAAAGACATGCAACAAAGAAATTTGTCAGGTTTCATAACCATTCCTCACTATTAACTATGATTTGGAGAGTGGTCACATGAATCAGCGACGGGCACTTTTTGTTTTCTCACCTTTAGGATGTACATGCTATTTTTGGGTGGGCAATAGCTGGTGTAAGAATTTTAAACACGTTAAAAATAGGACCTGGATGGTAAAAAGCGCTTGCTCGATTTTTTTTCCCATGGTTCCCCTTGTACATTTTTTTCGGCAGTTGTTGCTGTACAGGATTTTTATATTGAAACTGCGCACCTCCCCTTAACCCCCACCCCCCCGTCCCTCAGATCCTATTATAAATCGTCTGTCAACTGTCGTGGCTGTCACCATCCAAATAATGGCTTATTATCTGCATTTTCATGTTTTGCAGTTTGTAAAGCAAGCCTCGAGGTTTCCACTACGTGACACGGGAAGTAATCGAATGACCTCATGTTATAATTATGTAAAATGACATACATTGTATGGGCAATATAAAGATAAATAAATAAATAAATAAATAAAAAGATTACATTGTTTAATTGTCATTACTGCTTACGTTGACACACTGTAAATTACAAAACAAATATTGAAAATAGCACATATATACTATGAGGAATCCTAACTGGTGGGAAGCTGACCAGTTAGGATTCCTCATAGTATATATGAACTACCAAGAACAAATCCAGATAGTTGTAGGGTGGAGTATTTGAACCAGGGGGTCTCCAGGTTTCAAATCCAGCCCCCTAAACCACTCGGTCACGCGGTCTTCAAGGACGATTCACTTGTACCTGTACAGCTGATAGCATTTCCACTCCATTGCCCAGTCTGCAAACACGTTCTGGTCACATTTCCTTGGCTGCTACCATAGCCACTTTGACAGCCAAATACACAGTTGGATCCAATCGTAGTGCCACAGGAAATGGTCAGTAATACGGCTTTAAAAGGAATGCTCAAAGGAGCACAGGTGACAGCTTAAACGTAACGGACACATTTGTCATTTCAAAAGGAAAGGAACTATATTTTAATGAAACTTTGCGACCAAAAACAAGACCATGTCCTAAGAAAACAAAACGACAGTGTATATCAATGGCAGAAAATGACTATTTAGCACCCGAAATTAACAAGTGTTGTCATTTCTTCCAAAATGATATCAATTCTATTAATGCTTTCCAAGCGTTTACGCAAGGATGAACATTACATTTTTCACCTTGAAAACCACAAAAAACTGTTTGACCTTTCGGTTAATAGGGAAGTTTGGTACATGTTGATCTTAGTGGTTTACTGTTATTTCCGTCTACAAAAACTGAGCTGGTTTAGCTCCTCACCATTACACTGAGGCTGCGTTCCAGTCCATACACCGTTGCTGTTACATGTCCGTGTTGCTGACCCAGTCATGCTGTACACACTATCACAGGAAAAATGACAGGAGTGTCCTGGCAAATTAGCACAGGGCGCTACGCTTCCGTGGGCTGGAGCGGTCAACAGAGGGCAGCGATTCACTGTTTCATAAACAAAGTGATTAAATGTAAATAAATGAAGGTGATACGTTGCTCTTGGGGTCCAAG